CTCTATATCGTGTATCGATCGTTTGGCTGTGATCTCGAAGCTCGACGCCATCAGTTCGGCTTCCCTCACCCCAGCGGCCCGGACGGATGACGCGGCGGTGTGGGTAGGCAATAATGTAGCCATCGCACACACGGACAAGATCACGTGAGTACGCGGACGCTTGGCGTCGGATCCGTCGCGTCTTGGGATGCGCCGCTGCGAAGAGATCTTTCGACACCGCGCCGCTCTGTGGAAATGCTGAGATGGTCGCTGTGGGATTGTGCGGGTCTCGGAGAGTATTCAGGTGGTTCGCATCATCATTTCGCTCTTCGTCGTGAAGATGCCCGGCCAATAAATCCATCGACATGGCCTCTTTCTTGGGCCGAGTGTGACGCGACGGAGACGAAAAAAGGTGGAGAAGAAGGAAAGAAGAGGAAGGAGAGCTGCCTTCCCATTCAGGACTAGCGCATTCACGGGCGCAGTTTTGCGACGACAGGCGCGCGTGGAACGTTCCAAGCTCAGGCGGGAGAATGGCAGTCCTAAGTAGTGTTACGAGTAGGAGAGCAGTGTCAGCACCCCCAGATCATCTGTATTGGAAGATGTACAGTCATCTGTGCAGACCACATGCAACAGGATTAGCATGGCTACGCATGCCAGACGGGCGTCTATCCGCTGTTCGGCATGGAGGTCATCGTCATCGACTCTTGCAAGCCTTTTTTTTTTTTTCTTCTGCTTCAGCACCCTTTCCTCGCCTTGCTGACGAGCTTGTCGATTGGGTGACGTCGAGTTGAAGGCTTCCAAGGGCTTGACTGGTGGGTGCTGTGCATGCTATCAACACCTGGTCGCAGCACAAGACGCAAGCATGCATGTACTATATCAATGATATCGATAGGCGGGAGAGAAGCCGTGTGTCTGTCTGGACGAGCAGCGGATTCGTACCCGTAAAGCCATGTATCACCACGGGTATCCGTACCCTGCAATCTGCACAGATGAACGATGAACCGTATCAGTACATCGCAGCTGCTCGTAATCAACCTGGGGCTCTCCAGGCCTATCACGCCGTGAACTGTGAGCACAGCAGGTGCGACACACTCCACCGGCGCACATCTCCATCGCCAGGCCGACGGGTGGACCATCTGACACAGATTCCGTCTCTTATTGGCCAAGATCGACCTGGCCGCCGCCAACGGACCAATTGTAGTGGAAGAAGACAAGAAGCTCAGGCATTCTCTTTTATGCTTCAGAGACCCATAAACAAACAAACAAAGGCATAACTATCCCAGATACTAGTGTCAACAACCATAAATTACCAGTAATACTTTGTAGTATTATAGCCAAGTATATGATGATTACCAAAGCTTCAATGTTTTTTTTTTCTGTTTTTTTTTTCTGTTTTTGCTCTTACTGTTACTACTCTATCACCCCTTTTGTTCATCAACTCCCCCCTAGGAGACGACAGGGAACAGACGAAAACACATTTTCCTCCTCCTCCCCCCTCCCCCCCTCCATCTCCATCTTCTCTTTCCAGTCCTTCTCCGAGAGACAAGACAGCATTAGAAAGAAGGAAGCCACTTCCATGTGCTTTTGATCAGCGGCCGGACACACTTCTCATTTCCTCTGCGTGCCAATTGCCCTTTGTCTACCCACCCTCAAGAATTTCCATATGAGAAGCTACTCCAGCTCCTCCTAATTAATCGCCCAACCCACCTCATTTCCCTCTCTCTTTCTCTCTCTCTCTCTCTCTTTCTTCCTTCATTCCCTGACCTCCCCCTGCCACTCCTTATTCTAATAATAATATTACCAATCGCTGCTCAGGGGTGCTCCAACAACGGACGGCTTCTTGATTCTTTCTCCGAACTACCGCTTTGATCAGTATTGTTATCACTTACCAACCCATTCTGTCGCGCTCGGCTTTCTCTCTCTATTTTGGCAGTTTGGCAGCGCCCTCTCACCAAACCACCTGCCGCAGTTGGATGCCTACTTCATAATATCCAAAGGGAAGGAAAAAAACACGGCGCGCCGACTTCGCGTCACGCATATCACAGCATCACAGCATTCAAAGAAAAAAAAATCAAAATCGACGCGCGCGAGATTACCATAACATACGCCTTTCACCCCCCCTCCCCCACGGAACAGAAACAACCATCAACTACGAGTCGCGTCGTAACAGACTCACAAAGCATCTATACCGATCTCTGCCACATCGCACAAACACATCTGACTATAATGGATGCACGGGTATGTGAACATCGAGAGGGAGAATGAGAGAAATCGGAATGACACTCGTTCCATGGCGTGTTGTCGCACCACCTGTATATCAAGGGAGGGAGAGAGAGAGAGAGAGAGAGAGAGAGAGAGAGAGCTGAAAACCTTTACTGACGATTGATGTAGCCCTTCAGACCTCGCGGTGGCGAGAATGCCGTCCCCTCCCTCCATCAACGGCACAAATCGACGGGCAACCTGTCGAGCAAACCTCTAAACGGCGTCAATCCCGGCTTCCGTGGCCCTGCCAAGCGCGCCGCTTTCGGCGACGTGACAAACACCACCAAGCACCACAATGTCGTCGGCCTTGGACGCGACGGCCACAAGGTGCACAAAGCCCACTCCGTCCTCAACCTCGACCGATCGTCTCTGAACTCCAACGCTGCCAAGGAGAACACAATCTCCGTCTCCAAGGACCCGCTTACGCGTCCGGCAGAGAAGGCCCAACCTCTGTCGAGCAAGAGCGCCAACATCAGCATCAGCATCGGCAGCAGCAGAAACAACACCGACGCCGGCAAGGCCCCGGCCAAGAAGAGCAGCGTCGTGACCGTCGACGTCAAGCCCGCGGCAGTCGGCAGGGAAAGCCTGCTGTCTGCGCGTGAGGACACCCGCGGGACGCACACGGAGACGCAGGCAGTCGAGCCTCGTCACCGTCAGAGCCAGCCGCGGCTCAAGCAGCCGCAGCCGGAGCCGGCTCCTCGAAAGACCCAAGGTCGGGACCTCGACAGCCTGACCTGCCAGGATCTGGTGGGCCGTCATGACGCGCGGGACAAGGAGCCCGACGTGTCTCTCCCGCCGCTGTCGGACGCGCCCACGCACAGCGCCCAGCTGACGTCGGCCGCCTCGTCTGATAGGGACAGCGCCGCCACCGTATCGTCGGAAGCCTACGACGTGCTGCCCAGCGACCAGATGGACATGGTCGCACGCATCCTGCGTGCCCAGGACGACACGACGCTCGATGAGCTGATCGGGGGCCACGGCCAGGACGAACCCGCCGTCCCCGCGCTGTCCGTCACGTACGGGGAGCCGGCCGTCGAGGCTGTCGGCCCCGCCGCCGACAACCAGACGACGACGCTGTCCGAGACGGAGGAGCAGTGGTACGACGACGAAGAGTCCTGCGAGGATGACGACCAGGGCTACACAACGTCGCACTCCCTCCGATCCCGCGACATGACGGGCGGCGTCACGACGCTGCTACAGCCCCGGGTCACGTCGCGTGTGCAGCGTGAGCTGGACGAGGCCAAGGCCGAGGTCCTGGCCACGCGACCGCCCGAGGATGTTGATGATGAAGCCTGGGACGTCAGCATGGTTGCCGAGTACGGCGACGAGATCTTTGACTACCTGCGGGAGATGGAGGTTAGTCTGAACCCACCTTGGCACCTCCCCAACACACGCGCACACACACACACACAGAGAGAGAGAGAGAGACGCTGACATTCCCCTCCCCCTTCTCACCATTCAGGTCAAGATGCTGCCGAACCCGCACTACATGGAGCACCAGACCGAGATTCAGTGGTCGATGCGCGCGGTCCTTATGGAGTGGCTGGTGCAGGTCCACGGACGCTTCCACCTGCTCCCCGAGACGCTCTTCCTGACGGTCAACTACGTGGACCGATTCCTGTCGAGCAAGGTCGTCTCCATCGGCAAGCTCCAGCTGGTGGGCGCGACGGCCATCCTCGTGGCCTCCAAGTACGAGGAGATCAACTGTCCGTCCCTGCAGGAGATCGTCTACATGGTGGACGGCGGGTACAGCGCGGAAGAGGTGCTCAAGGCCGAGCGCTTCATGCTCAGCATGCTCGGCTTCGAGCTCGGGTGGCCCGGTCCGATGAGCTTCCTCCGGCGAGTCAGCAAGGCCGACGACTACGACTACGACACGCGTACGCTGGCCAAGTACTTCCTCGAGCTGACCATCATGGACGAGCGGTTCGTGGCGTCGACGCCCAGCTTCCTGGCGGCGGGCGCGCACTGCCTCTCGCGCCTGATCCTCAACAAGGGACCCTGGACCAAGGCGCACGTCCACTACTCAGGCTACACGTGGGGTCAGCTCAAGCCCCTCGTCACCATGATGATCGAGTGCTGCGACGACCCGGACAACCACCACCGCGCCGTCTTTGACAAGTACGCCGAGAAGAAGTTCAAGGAGGCGTCCGTCATGGTGCAGTCCGTCCTCGATGCCGGCTTCACCCTGCCTCACGATACCATGCCTGTCAGGGTCAGGCAAGCCGGCCACGCGGGCGCGTCGTACATGGATGACCTGAACATGCAACCTGCTCCTCTGAGCATTGCTTAGGTTTTTTTTCCTCTCCTTCTTTCTCTCCTCTTCTCCTTCTTCTGTGGCATACTCTCTCCTCCCAGCCATGTCAGACCAAACCTTTTTTTATACCCTCCCACCACCACCTTATAACCAGTTTCTGTCATGGTCATGATATACCCTATCTTCTCTCTCTCTCTCTCTCTCTCTCTCTCTCGGCACCATATACTTGGACCAGGCTGGTTTTATTTTCACGAGTTTGATGAAGTCTATTTCCTTCTCTTCTTTCAGGACGGCGTCAAAATGTATGATCCATACGGTTACTCTTTTTTCTGCCCCTCCCCCCCCCACCCAGAGACGTCGATTCGAATGTCATTGTTTGAAACACCGTCTTTTTTTTTCTTTCCAAAACGAGACGACCTGTTCTTTGCATTTTGCATTTTTTATTTTTTATCTTATAGATACAAGTTTGGAAGGGAAAGGTGGGAAAGGGGATAATGGTGTTGTTCTTCTTTTTTCTTCTTCAATTGGCGTTTCGGTAGTTTTCTTCTGTTTATTATCTGGTTAATTTTTGTTTTTGTTTGTGCTTTATATATATATATATCGGACCGGATAATAAGTAATTGGCATGATCAGAGTGTACAGGTACGGGTGCATACGGCGTGTGATGGAGTGGTGCGTGTGTCGCGAGTGATGTGATATTAATATATATATATATATATAGGAGTATGTACGAATGTGGTATCACGTAGGAATAATTTTTTTTTTTTTGGGGGAGGGGGGTAGGAGTGTATTGGGGATTTGCCAATCACTACTCCTTACATGGTATTATTCCATCTGTCGGTTCGGCATGACGGCTGCATTATTGACAAGAGACAGGACACACCAACCCTCGTGCCCTTTCCTCGTATGTACGTCGTACGTCGATCGGAGTTCCTGGCCGAGCTTTGACGTGGCACGTGAGATGGCGGCGCGGGTGGTACGGTACGGTACGGTACGGCAGGTGCGGTCAATGAGAGGAGAAGGAGAAGGACAGACTGGACAGGGGGGAAACAAAAATACAGGGGGAAATGAGGACTCTGATGGGCGGAGAATGCTTTGGGGGGAGGGGAGGGGGAAGAGGTAGGGGCCCATCTGTTCCAGTCCATGATATTTTCTTGTATGAGGAATGTCTACCTATGTAGGTGCTCGCAGTATAATAGCCATCCATCATGTAGGTCTTCTTACTTGATTTGCGGTTATATGTCATGATGAGGGGGGGGGGGGGGATGCTGCTGATATTAGCATACAGAGTATTAATACAATACCGAGTACGGAGCAATAATCTGTACTCGTACTCGTACTAATAAAGACCAGCGTAATCCTGAGACTCGCACTGGCCGAATCGGAATCTAGTCCGGGATATTTCCGAAGGGGACAAGGAAGAAGCCGGACGTACGGAGGATGGGGTAAAGGGAGAGAGAGGTAAGGTATGGGTTCAGGCAGCAGGGTATCAAAGTCTAGATGACACCGTACGTAGTAGTAGTATTGGGGGGGGGGGGGGGGTAGTGATACATATATATAAATATATGTATACATGTAAATATATGTATACATGTAAATATATGTATACATGTAAATATATGTATAATATATATATATATATATATATAATTGTACGGCTCACGTCTAAACTCACGAGTAATAGGATAATATCCCCAAGGGTCGACCACTTAAACTTCTCAGAATACCACTACACGTACAGATTACGTGTACGGAGTATAGGTATCCAGGACAGCAGAACCCAGTTGCAGGGAGCAGCTTGTTGTGAAGGATCAAGAATGGGCAGTACAGTTTTATCGATACTCCGGTGATACGAGTACAGATTAGTATTAATAATAATGACAGACCAAGGTAACCTTTTTGTGCCTGAAAGTTCAGGGGAAATAAAGTGTGTGTGTGTGTGTGTGTGCCGCACTATCAAGTACAAGGATCATCACAAGTGCAATATATATACTCCCCGTTACATCCCTGGAATGAATGCCGGGCGAATCCGGGAGGGAAAGAGCAACGGTGACAAAATATAAATCGAAAAAAAAAAGATTAAAAAAAAATACTCTTGCAAAACGTAACAGGAGGGGGGCAAAGAAGAAAGAGGGGAAGAAAAAAAAAAAGGGCCGCGGAGTAGACGGAAAGAGCGAGTCGAGCTAAATCTGTATGTGCATGACTAATATGTACATGTACATGCGTAACCGACACCCATCACCTCTCGTATCACCTCGTACAGGCCAAACTGCCGGGTATGAAATCTGTGGTAGCGGTACAGGCACCTGGCGGTATACAGGTGCGAGCAGCACCTGTAGCGCTGACCCCATAGGCAGAGGCTAGAGGCCTAGCAGGCTAGCAGGCTAGACCCTAGCAGCCAGCAGGCGGGACCCGCTGGAACACCAAAAGGTGTCAAGGTCTCAGCACCCCAGTCCGAGCGAACCCCCAATCTCATAATAATAATCTCCTCTCCGCATTTTCCTTCTCCTCCACGTCTCGAGCTTTTCCGCTAGAGCATTCCAAGAAGGCAGGAAAGGCAAGATTAAAAAAAAAAGGAATCCATTCACTAGCACTAGACAGAGTCAGCTCTGAAATTCTCTCCTTCTCTCTCTCTCTTCTTTTCCCTTCTCCTTAGCCTTCTCCCCCCCCACCCCCCTCCCCAACATTAAAACTCTTCGCGCGCTTGTGTGTGTGTGTGTGTGTTTATTTTTATTCCCCCCCCCCCCTTCTTTCTGGGGAAGAAGAATATCTGGACCCGTGTTTGTCTTGTCTCAGAACGGTTCACAAAACCCACACCACACCTTCCTTCAAGCCAACTTGTCCTCTCTCTCTCTCTCTCTCTATCTTTCTCACTCACTCTCTCTCTCCATCACTCTCAGGCGATCCTATCGGTTTCCCCAGAATTGATCGCCTTTACCGGCCATTGACTTTTTCCGTCCCCACCCCCCGAATCGAACGACGACAACGAGAATAAGAAGAAGGAGAAGGAGAAGAAGAAGAAGAAGCGACGACGACGACGACGACGGCAATGGCGACAGTCAAGGATGTTGTGAAAGAGACCCTCGTTGGAGGAGGACGTGCCTCTCTCGACGACGCCGACTCACCACAACTGTCCGTCCAGTCTAGGGCCCGTTTCATCAGCAATGCCGTCAAGGACCCGGAGACGGGCGAGCTCTACCTCGGCACTGACGAGTTCATCAATGCCATAACGCCCCAGGACGAGGACTTCCACAAGATCAAGAGGGAACAGTACTCGATCCTGTTCCGCGTGGCCGACCGCAAGAACAACGGACGCGTCACCATGTCCGACTGGGGCGTCTTCGAGAACCTCCTGACCAAGCCCGACTCCGAGTACGAGGTGGCCTTCCGGCTCTTCGACGTGGACCGGACCGGCAACGTGCGGTACGACGACTTCCGCCAGCTGTACGAGCTCAACAAGGGCGCCGACAGCATCCCCTTCGACTGGGACGGCGAGTGGGCCAAGCTGTACATTGGCAGCCGGCAGAACCGCCACAACCTCGACTACCCGCAGTTCGCGCAGATGCTGCGCGGCCTGCAGGGCGAGCGCATCCGCCAGGCATTCCACAGCTTCGACAGGGATGGCTCGGGCTACATCGAGCCCGAGGACTTTGGCCGCATCATCGTGCAGACGGCGCGCCACAAGCTGTCGGACCACCTGCTCGACAACCTGCACACGCTCTGCAACATCTCGCAGGGCAGCCGCGTGTCGTACGCCAACGTGCGCGCCTTCCAGAACGTCATCCGCGACATGGACCTGCTCGAGCTCATCGTCCGCCGCGCCGTCGCCCGCTCCCCGGACTCGAGGATCACCCGCACCGACTTCCTCAACGAGGCCGTCAAGATCACCCGCTCCTCCCTCTTCACCCCGATGGAGGCCGACATCCTCTTCCACTTCGCCGGGCTCGACAAGCCCTCCGGCCGCCTGGGCCTCGCCGACTTCGCCAAGGTGCTCGATCCCATGTGGCGCAACCCGACCTACAGCGCCGGCGCCGGCGACGTCGCCCCGACCGGCGACGTCCCCCCCCTGGCCAGGAAGGCGACCGGCACCCTCCTCCACGGCGTGCTCGAGTCCGTCTACAACTTCGGCCTGGGATCCGTGGCCGGCGCCTTCGGCGCCTTCATGGTCTACCCCATCGACCTGGTCAAGACGCGCATGCAGAACCAGCGCGGCGCCCAGCCGGGCCAGCGCCTGTACAAGAACTCGATCGATTGCTTCCAGAAGGTGGTGCGCAACGAAGGTTTCCGCGGCCTGTACTCGGGTGTCCTGCCGCAGCTGGTCGGCGTGGCGCCCGAGAAGGCCATCAAGCTGACGGTCAACGACCTCGTCCGCGGCGCCACCAAGGACAAGGATGGCAACATCAGCCTGGCTGCCGAGATCCTCGCCGGTGCCTCGGCCGGTACATGTCAAGTTGTATGTGAAGCTCTCCTCCTCCTCCTCCTCCTTCTCTTCTCCTACTTTCCCCCCCTCTCTTCTTCTTCATTCTTGATGATGATGAGACAAGCCTGACACGAAACAAAAACAAAACAAAAAACTAACAAATTTTTTTTCTTCTCAACGCAGGTCTTCACCAACCCCCTCGAGATCGTCAAGATCCGTCTACAGGTGCAGGGCGAGATTGCCAAGTCGGGAGGCGGCGCTCCCAAGCGGTCGGCCATGTGGATAGTGCGCAACCTGGGCCTGGTGGGCCTGTACAAGGGCGCGACGGCGTGCCTGCTGCGTGACATGCCCTTCTCGGCCATCTACTTCCCGGCCTACTTCCACCTGAAGAAGGACTTCTTTGGCGAGTCGCCGACGCAGAAGCTGAGCGTGCTCCAGCTCCTGACGGCCGGAGCCATCGCGGGCATGCCGGCGGCCTACCTGACGACGCCGTGCGACGTCATCAAGACGCGCCTGCAGGTCGAGGCGCGCAAGGGCGAAGCTCAGTACACGGGTCTGAGGCACGCCGCCCGCACCATCTGGCGGGAGGAAGGGTTCCGCGCCTTCTTCAAGGGCGGACCGGCCCGCATCTTCCGCTCCTCGCCGCAGTTCGGCTTCACCCTCGCCGCCTACGAGGTCCTGCAGACCTTGCTGCCCATGCCGGGAGGCAAGAAGGCCACCGAGGCCAGCGCCAGCGCCGGCGTCGGCGCCGGCGTCAGCGCGACGGCCACCTCGGTCGTGGACACGACGCCCCTCGGACGGAGCCGTAATGCCCTCAAGGTGATTCTCGATCTTGATGAGGATTTCGGTCGTGCCAAGCTGCCTGATGCTCTGGGATGGAAGTCGCTTCCTAGGTCTATGGGAGGAGGTGGTGGATCGGCATAAAGTTGTCTCTTCTTCTTCCTTTCTCTTCTTGTTTCTCGTCTCGTTGTTTCTTGCTTCTCGTCTCTCCCTCCTCTCTCTCCCTCTCCCTCCCTCTCTCTCTCTCTCAATCTCTCAATCTCTCTTCCTCCCTTTGTTTCTATCTGTTTCGTGTATGTGCCTTTTGTCCATCTGATCTTAGTAGCATCAGAATATGGCGTTTTTTTTGTTGTCTGTTTTCTTCTTTGCCCCCATCAAATCTCTAGCCATGACTCCATGTTTTTTCTCCCTCATCTTTTTCTTTTTACCCCATCAGACTTGTTCACGTCACTGTGTTCCTTTTGTGATATACATATATACATTGATATTGATACAAGAGAAATGTAGAGGAGGAATTTTGAGATTCTAGATGGAAATTAGAGGGCCATCTTCTCTGAGGCATGTACTATTGTCGCATGTCGTATGTCATATGTCGTCGGAGCGGGAAAGAAGTGTTTACATGTACGTGATGTGTGTACGGTGTAAGTTGAATGTAGATTGACGAAAACATGTAAAACCGATCTGATCTGAAATGACGGACCTTTTTTTTTTTTTGTCAGGCTGTCCAGGGTAAGTGCCAGTGCGAACCGAGACAAGACTTGTGATTGTATCAATATGTGGGAGATGATATAATACATTATATTACTCCGTATATTATCCTATATTATGATATTACGCCATTTTCATCTTCTTACTTGTCCCGCCCTCATCAGCCGACGGTCCCCTCGTCAACATCTGCACCATCCCACCACAAGGTCTAGAGGCTCGACCACGACAGCGGAGAAACCCCCTCACAGATCCCGACCCCGACCGACCCCGACCGAACAAGAAGATGGAATTCCTCGTCGTGGTGTCGGCCATCTTTGGCTGGGTGTATTTCCTGCTATGGAGCCTGTCATTCTACCCCCAGGCCCTGCTCAACTGGCGACGACAATCTACGTCTGGGACTACGGTTGATTTTCCTCTTCTCAACATTTTGGGTATTWCTACTTCTCTCCTACCTTGTCCTTTCCCCCCCCCCCCATTTTCTTTTCAACTCTCCCCTCTCCCCCCCCTCTTCCCCTCCTCTCCCCCTCTTCTCTCCCCTCTCTCCCTCCCCCTCCCCCTCCCTCCAAGCTGACATATCTAGGCTTCACGGCATACTACGCCTCCAACCAGGCCTTCCTGAGCTCGACAACCGTCCGGGACCAGTACGCGTCGCGACACTCCGGTCTGGAGCCCACGGTCCGCCTGAACGACGTGTGCTTCGCTCTTCACGGACTGATCCTCAGCATCGTCACGACGTCTCAGTACCTCCTCCCCAGGACGCTGTGGGGATTCGAGCCCAGCGTCGGGTCCCGGCCGAGCAAGGTGGCCCTGGGCGTGTACGCGGGCAGCCTGGTCGGGGTGGCCGTCACGCTCCTGCTCGCCGCCGGGTCCGGGTCCGGCGCGGCCGACGACGACGACGGCGACGACGGCTGGCGCGCCCTCGACGTCGTCTACGCGGTGGGCTACGTCAAGGTGGTGGTCACCCTGGTCAAGTACACGCCCCAGGCGCTGCAGAACTGGCGCAACCGGAGCACCGTCGGCTGGAGCATCGCGCAGATCCTGCTCGACCTGGGCGGTGGGGTCCTCAGCCTCGCGCAGCTGGCCATAGACAGCTACCTCGAGCGGGACTGGAGCGGCGTCACCGGTAACCCGGTCAAGTTTGCCCTGGGGAATGCCAGCCTGCTGTACGACGGTATCTTTGTCGTGCAGCACTACATCTTGTATAGGCATGCTCGGGAGGATAAGGGTGGTGGAGAAGAAGAAGAAGCAGATGAAGGTGCCGAGGTGGACGAGGAGAGGAGAGCTCTCTTGTAGGTTGGGGGGTAATCGAAACAGAAAAGGGAGAATATGGTTGGTATCTTTTCATGATCTGCTATATTATATTATATATATATATATATATTATAAGGATCAAATAGACCTGAAATAAGTCAAGAAAAACAAAAACCCCCCTCCAATTCGTATGTATGCTCGCTTTTCGATATACCTTCTCCTCATTCCCGACACGATCAATTCAGCTTGTCACCCCCCACTCTCAAGCCGACGCCCAAGACTACGCAAGCCCTCATGACGGCCATGGAGCCCAGCAGGCCAAAGTTGAGCCAGTCCTCCAGCCTCCAGGCCCCGAGGGCCAGGCTGGCGTCCAGACCGCCGAACTCGCGCACGCTGGCGGCGATGTGGAGCGCGTCGGAGAGCAGCATGCCCATGCACATGACGCGCCAGAGACGGTGGTCCCTGCTCCTCAGGCGCAGGACGACGACGAGGTTGAAGACGAAGACGATGTGGAAGATGGCCAGCATGTCTGTCAGGATACGGATATGAATGAGGTCTCCTCCTCCTCCTCCTCCTCCTCCTCCGCCTTCTCCTACTGTCGCTGATGCCAATACATGGTTGTTGCTGTCATGCATGCCGCCGCTGCTGCTGCCCCCGGTCCCGGTCAATGTCCCGTTGTAGACCGGCGCCGAGACCGAGATGGTAGGGCTCGTGATCAAGGGATTGTGCGGCGAGACTGCGTCGAGGAACTGCGAGGGGTGGCAGAGCAGGAGGTAGGCTCCGTTCAGGGCGCAGGCTGGTTCGATGTAGAACATGAGGAGACGGTAGATGAATGGTACGGGGGGGTTTGTGTCCTGTTGCTGCTGTTGCTGCTGTTGCTGCCGTTGCGGTTGTTGCGGTTGTTGCGGTTGTTGTGGTTGTTGTGGTTGGTATTGCTGCTTCTGCTGCTGCTGCTGCTGCTGCTGCTGGGTGGTAGCAGTTGCACTTGATGGGTTGAAGACTGCCATGATTTGTCGTGCTTGTGCGTGTGTAATGCCAGTATTATGCCCAAGTGCTTTGTTTTGGCTGTCGGTACTGTATCAATCAAGTTTTGTATGCGACCATGTGCCGATGCTGATGATGATGATGCTGATGACGTAATATGCAGTATCGTAAGAAGAGTAGTATGACGCAGCGCATCGGATGGAAGAGTTGGGAGAGGCAAGAGAGAGAGAGAGACAGGAAGAGTCGGGAGTATTAATACTGATGATGGATAGGTACGGAATACTGTAGTTATAAATATATAACAAAAATTATACGAGTAGATCAGGAAGAAAAAAAAACAATAAAAACTATAAGAAAAAAGAAAGCGAGGAAAAAAAAGAGAATCGGTCAAGAGCGGCCGCTCTTTTGACTAACGCGTCTCTACGGAGTAATCACTATATCGTCTTGTTTCTCAATAATACGAACTCTTTTTTTTGGTTTGTTTTTTTTTTTTTAATTTAATTTTCCTTTTCCTTTTCTATTATTTTTTTTTGGTTTGTTTTTTTCTTCATCTCGCTCTTCTTTCTCTTCTTCCCTTCTTCTCAGACCTTGCTTACTCATCACACACACTCTCTCAGTCTCGCTATTTTTCTATTTCTCTTGAAAAGAAGAACATCTTGTCAGATCAGATCCCCCCCCCCCCCAAAAAAAAAAGAGGCGGCCGCCTGCTCTAAAAGAAGAAAAAGAAAAAAAAAAGAAAAGTCCATCCCCCCTCCCCACCTTTTAATTCGGTGTGGAGACACACATAAAGATAACATGACACGACAACCCCTTCAAAGCCCAAGGGAACTTCTTTTAAGGGATAAAACCTCCATCATCGAGGTTACGTTTCATGATTGGCGATTTTTTTTTTGGGGACTGAAAGTCTTCATTGACAGGAAGCTTCCATCTTTCAAGAGTGTTAGTAGTAGTTCGTATCTTGGTAGGGACTAGACAAGATATATATATATATATATATATATATACATATATAATACGTGTAATGAATACATTGTCACATTATCATGATACATATGATATTCATCAATCATCCGCAAGTCACGTCAAGCAAGATACCAAAGTAGGAAGTATAGTAATAGTAATGAACTATTATTATTATTATGGCAAAGTAAGAAATCCCCTCCTCCTCCTCCTCATCCCAACACTCCAATTGGGAATGTTCGATGATCTATCTTCCAGCCCCCCCTCTCCTCCATAGTCGGCCGCCCCCCCCCTCTCTCTCTCTCTCTCCCATGCTCCGCTTACGGATGGCATCAGGAGGGGAAGGGGGGGGGAAGGCGGCGAGATCAAATCTGATCTGCTGTGATACATCCGAGACGTAGTAGTAGCAGTAGTAGCAGTAGTAGTAATAGTAGTAGTGCTGATACCGAGTACGGATGCATGCAGTCACGACACGCGTGGGTACTAATCTGTGTGAGTACTACGAGTACATGATACTATAGGTATGTAATCTGTACTCGTGGGAATATCGTGATACTCTTGCTCTATCTTCATGCATCATGAGATACATGGATACATACATGATACAGACCTGCGTCAACTCCTGATAATAGCACTGCTACTGCTACGGATTACTACCACTGCTACTGATACTAGTCGAAATCATATGCTTTACACGGGTACCTCAGGTATTACATTTACCCCGTCATCAGGAGCATCGACGATACTCAATCGTATCAACGTGTGCCAGCTCTACCGCACACGCACACACGCACACACGCACACGCACACACACACGGATCACCGGTAATGATTTACTGCATCCTCACCTGTCCCAGCTTTGTCAGAGCGTCGTCGTCGTCGTTTTCATTTCATTTTATATCTTATTCCATGTATCAAGTCCCAACTTGTCAAGGTACATATATATAATACAGAAAGCCAGGCCATGCAGTGCAGGCATGAATGCGAAGCAAGAGCAGATGGCTCTGCAATGATACACATCTCACGCTCACATCACATAATTCATCGTCTTCCCCCCCCCGACACAGATCACCCTCTTGGCCCGACCGACATCGTACACGCCACCCTCCCCAAACCTATCTCTCCCCTCGTCGCTCTGCAGGATCGCGTCGGTCATCCACCTGCCCATCTCATCCCTCGAGAGCCCCTCCGGCGGCCGCGCCACCTGCACCACCCCGCGCACCTTGCCGTTGATCTGCACCGCGCACGCCTGCCGTCCCGGCCGGAGCAGTGAGCCCTCGTCGCTGCCGTCCACCTCGGGGAAGCCGGCCGAGAAGACAGAGGAGGTAGAGCCGAGGCCGCCGCCGCCGCCGCCGCCGCCGCCGGCGCGCTCCCCCTCCCCGCCGTCGCAGAGCATGCTCCAGCACTCCTCCGCAAACGCCGGCGCGATGGGTGCCACCATGCGGACCATCGCCCTGGCGGCCTCGACCTTGATCACGTCGCTCGCTCCCGCCGTGCTCCCCGCCCCGACCGCGTTCGTCAGGCTCATCAGGTCCGACACGGCCGTGTTGAGGGAGTAGACGTCGTCGTACGACTGCGTCACCGATCGGATCGTCTTCTGCACCTCGCGCCAGATGCTCGAGTCCGCCTCCCACCGCCGCGCCAGCTCGCCGTCCGGGGGCGACGACTCTATCCGCGCACGCATGCCCGTCAGGTACTCCTTGGCTGTGCTTGTGCTTGTAGCCGTGCTCGTAGCCGTACCTGTCGTCGTACTCGTCGCTATAGCCTTCGCCGCCGCCGACGCCGCCGAGACCTGGTCGTACAGCCGATGCAGCCACCGCGTGACCCCCACAATCTTGGCGCCGTCCCAGTTGAGCACGTCGCCCACCGGCGCCTGGAAGAGCATGTGCGCCCGCGTCGCGTCGGCCCCGTGCTTGGCAATCGTCTCGCCCGGGTCCACGCCGTTGTGCTTCGACTTGGACATCTTCTCGTACGCAATCGTCGCCTGCTTCCCCGTAGCCTTGACCCGCGGCTTGCTCGCGTCCGAAGCGTCCACCTCGTCCGGACGCAGGAAGCGCCCGCTGTCCGGGTCCACAAACGTCTTGCCGTGCACCATGCCCTGCGTGATGAGCCGCCTGAATGGCTCCGCCACGGCTGCTGCTGCTGCCTTGGCCTTCTCCCCGCCCTTCCCCGCCGCCGCCGCCGCCGCCGCCGCCGCCTCGCCGACTCCGTACTGGGGTAGCACGCCGGCCGACGCCAGGAATTTGTACATGAAGCGCGCGTACAGCAGATGAAGGATCGCGTGCTCCACGCCGCCCAGGTACACGTCGACGGGGAGCGACCGCGCAGCCTCGGCCGAGAGGAGCTCGTCCTCGTTGTGCGGGTCCGCGAACCGCGCGTAGTACCAGCTCGAGTCGACGAAAGTGTCCATCGTATCCGTGTCCCGGCGTGCCTCGCCACCGCAGCTGGGGCACGTCGTCTCGACAAACTCGCGCGACGACTCGAGCGCGTTCCCTGCCTTGCCCTCGGCCCAGTGGCCGTCCACCTCCGGCAGCCTGACCGGCAGGTCCCTCTCGGGTACGGGCACGGCCCCGCACGAAGAGCAGTGCACGATGGGGATGGGCGTCCCCCAGTACCGCTGGCGGCTGATGAGCCAGTCGCGTAGCCGCCACTTGTCGACCCGCTCAGCCAGCCCGGACATCTCGAGCATGCGCACCATCATGGCGCCCGCCTCGTCCGACCTCCTACCCTTGAAGGGCCCGCTGTGCTCCGTCATGATGCCGTGGTCCACAAACGGCTCCGCGCCCTCGTCCACGGCCAGCGTCGACGACCCGCCGTCCTGCGACGCCGGCGACAGCACCACGCGTACCGGCTGGTCGGCCCCGTGCTCGCGCCAGAAGGCGTGGTCGCGCACGTCGTGGCCCGGGACGCCCATGACCGCGCCCTCGCCGTAGTCGCCGACCACGTACGCCGCCACATAGACGGGTAGCGAGGCCTTGACGGGCTCGGGCGTGGCCTCGTGGAAGGCCAGCGGGTTGACGGCCCGCACCTGGGGCAGCATGTAGCCGACCTTGGAGTCCGGCGGCAGCCCCGGGAGCGTGTCGAGGAAGGCCTGGAGCTCCGGGTCCGACCTGGCTAGCTCCACGACGGTGGGGTGCGTCGCCGCCAGCGCCACGTACTGGACGCCGAAGAGGGTGTCGGGCCGCGTGGTGAAGACGTCCAGGTTGGCTCCGACGTCGCCGCCCAGCGCCAGCACGGGGAACTTGATCCTCGCACCCGTCGACTTGCCCAGCCAGTTCCTCTGCTGGGCCAGCACCCGCTCCGGCCACGCGCCGTCGGCCGCCAGCGTGTCCAGGTCCTCGAGCAGCGACTCACTAAACTCCGAGATGCGTAGGAACCACTGCTTCAGCCGCCTCTTCTCCACCTTGGCCCCGGACCGCCACGACAGCCCGTCGGCATCCACCTGCTCGTTGGCCAGGACCGTCTTGTCCACCGGGTCGTAGTTGACCTCGGCCTCTTCCTGGTACGCTAGGCCTCGCTCGTATAGCATGAGGAATATCCTCTGCGTATGTTTGTAGAATTCGGGGTCACACGTCGTGAGTTCCTGCCTAGTGTTAGCCCCCCCAAACCCCATCATTCCCCAAATGATCCTTCCAGAGGCGCCAACAAAAAAAAAGAAAGAGATAGAGCGAGAGATGTATAAAGAGAGGGAGAGAGAGAGGGAGAGAGAGGGGGAGAGAAGGAGAGAGAGAGGGGGGGTGAGAGAGAGGGAGAGAAGAAATGGAGGGCACATACTCGATCCCAGCTCCAGCTAGCATTCATAGCTTCGAGCTGCTCCTTCATCCTGGCAATATTGCTCCTCGTCCACCGGTCGGGAGCCACGCCCCTCTCCAGCGCGGCATTCTCGGCCGGCAACCCGAACGCGTCCCAGCCCATGGGAAGCATGACGCTGTCCCCCCTGAGCCTCCTGTACCTGGCCACCACGTCGGCAATAGTGTACACGCGCAGGTGACCCAGGTGCAGCGTCCCCGAGGGGTAGGGGAACATGGGGAGGATGTATTTCGAGTCCGCCCCTCCATCGGTGATTCGCCGTCCGTCCTGCCGCTCCCTCCAGATCTTGCGCCACTTTTCGTCTAGGGCTGGCAGGTCAAGGGACGCATACCATCGTTTCGTCGCCGTCATCGGTGTACATGTAGCTCGTGATGCTGCTGCTGCTGCTGCGGCGGCGGCGGCGGCAGGGAACACGACGCGTCTCGTCGTCAGTAGACTGGCCATGCTGCTGCTGCGGCAGCACAAGGCCGCATGCCTCGCGTAAAGCATCTGCATTTCCTTCGGTCAAGGAAAGAAAAGGAAAAAGACACAGACAAAAAAGAAAAGAAAGAAAGAAAATCAGCGGCCCTCTATGTTATCATATCGAGAGTACTCAGTCGACTAGAGCTCTCGAGCTTGAAGCTCGTGATGTCTGTCACCACAAAAATCACCAATTCGATGGGGGAGAGGTAAAAGCGGGGCCCTCCCCGGAGTCAGGACAGGTACGATCAGCTCCAGCCAGGGTGACGATTCTGACTAATCAGTCATGATTCTTACTCTGACTACCCTACAGAGTAGTCTTACTCAAGAGACTTGATTCTGAGTAATTACTTGGCAGGTATTTATATATCTTTTGGTAAATAGTATAGATATAAAAAAATACTAACCCCATAGAATCAATCTGAAAATAAATCACTAGGCAATCCTATACTATATCCTTCTTTTCCTCTTTATCTTCTATTACTCAAATTCGCCACCCTGGCTCCAACGAGGGGAGACGTTGGATGCTGACTAAGATGACAGGCATTATTATCATATCATCGCAGTATCCAGACTTGTGAACCGTAATCTGTATATATATCGTATTATGTCTATCATATTATTGACAAGAATGAACGACGTTTTCGTCTTCATTCAAACTGCCGATGGCCTTGTTCCCTAGATTATAAAGATCACATGGTCGATACTGAGCGTATATTTCTCCATCACTACAACAGTAGCAGCAACAACAACAACAACAAAAACAACAGCAACTCTACCCCGACACGACGTCAAAGTCCGCGAGAGCACACAGAGTACGAGAGTACAGCACACGGAGTACAGCAATCAAGTTCCTTCTCGATAACCGAAATAATCGAATCAAAACTTGCTCTGTCCCTCCATCATCTGCATGACTCTTGCCTATTGTTGAATATAGTAGCCAATTATCGAACACGGTCACACACCATCACGCATACGCCGACATTCTTCTTCATCCGGGAGAAAAAAAAAAACGAAATCATTGGAAGAAATGTGTTATATGTACAGGTTCGCTCCAGTATATATAGATGTATAGATATAAAATGCAGGGAAAATCGAAACGAAGAGAGAAAAAAAAGACGCCAACTAGTCCAGGTATATCCGTATATGCAAAAATCTTTCCCTCCCTCTCGTCAAAAGTCTAGTCATGCCATGGGTATGTCTATCTCGCCGTCCATCATTTCCGCTCCGCTTCATCTGGACCTGCATACTTGCCGTTACTGTTCGTCCTTGGCAGCACTGACTCGTCGTCGTCTTCAGCCCCGTCTGTCTCGAGAAGGCCGTATGCAGCCTTGGATTCGTTGGTGCGGCCGGCCTGCTTCTTGCGATTCCCCCTGCGCCAGCGGAGGATGCCCAGCAGGCCACTATCAGCAAAGACGCACGGTGTTAGCTTTCAACTGGATTCCCATCACTTCTGTGGGATCGTGTGCTGTCATGTGTTCTCTCATCAAAAAGATTAAAGAAATCCACGATGCCAAAAAAAAAAATTCAAGAAAAAAAATAGAAGTCTTACAGTACTGTCACGGCACCGGCAATGGCACCAGCAACCAGAGCGCCCAGTATGGGAAGAGAGTGTCGGACAGCCTCGTCGTCGCTCTCGGAAGCCCCGGATTCATCAATGACGTGGCCGGCATCAGAGTCGGTGCTCGACTCGCCCGTCGGCACAGAGACGGCTGCAGAAGAGGGAATCGCCGAGTCGATGCTGAGGGACTCGGCCCTGGTGACCGCCTTGACGCCATGGCTCAGCCTGATGAGGCTACCAGTGTCCGTCTGGACGGCGGGCGTGGAGCCGATGATGCGGCCCTCGCTGTCGAGAGCGGCGATGCGTCCGTACCTGAGGACCTTGTCGACCCTGAACTCTGTCTCGAAGCCGTTGCGCGGGGACTGGGCGTAGACGTTTCCGGGGCCGTCGAGCTCCTTCGCATCATCCGACATGAGCTGGGGGTGTGCCGACGTGCGTGTTAGTCATGTGCCGTCGACTATACCATCCGACGGCCGGATCGACACGGGGTGCGAGCAAGGTTGGGACGTACCAGAACCCAGCGGGCCACCTCGGTAGCTCCGTTCCACGACACGTAGAAGCGGTGGTCGCCGCCGCCGTCGCCGTCGCCGACGTAGGAGATGTTGGGGCCCCAGCTGGGCTTGCCGACCCAGTTACCCTTCCAGATACGGTAGGCGATGACGTCGAAGATGCCGTGCTCCGAGGCCTTGACGGGACCGCGCTGGATATCCATGACCAGCTCGCCGTCGGCCGTGTACTCGGTGTACATCGGGTTCTGGCCCCACGCGACGACGACGTTGCCCGACGGCGTGCGCTGGACGCCGCCGCGCGACGCGCTCAGCAGCGACTGCGGGTGCTTCCACTCGTTGACGGCCCAGACCGTCTTGGCGTCGACGTCGTACTCGATCTCGAGACCGCGCGAACACCCACCGTCGTCGTCGTCGTCGCAGAAGCCGTTGCCGTCGGTGCGGTGGTTGTCGAAGAGGGTGATGCGATTGAGCCCGCTGACGCGAGCCTCGTGCTGGAAGGCGAAGTGCGCACCGCCCGTGCTGTTGCCGCTCACGTCCTCGAACATGTTCTTCTTGCCCCACATGACCCAGATGACCTCCTTGGTCTTGCCGTTGACCATGATGACCGTGCTGAGATGACGGTAGCTGACGAGGTAGTTACCCTCGCGGGTCTAGACGGAATGTTAACCTGTCTGTCCAGCAAACAACAGCAGCAATAACCCCGACATCGAAGAGAAGGGGAATTCTCTCTCTCTCTTTCTTTTTTTTTTCTTTTCCTTTTCCTTTTTTTTTTTTTTTTTTTTTTAAAAAAAAAAAACCCCTCCCGTATTTCCTGTCAAAGAAAAAAGCCAGAGAGAGAAAGAGGGGGAAGACGTGGTTTGAAGCCCGTACCTTTTCGACGGAATTCATATGGCAAAAGTCCCAGACATCTTCACCGCGATACTCCCACTCGCTGTCCTCGGGCGCAAAGTACCTGGTGGTGGCCCACTCGAAGATGACCTCGGTGGTGTCGGGGTCTACCTCCTGTATGGTGCAGTCGGCCAGCTTGCCGTCCTTGGGGCCTCCGACGGCCGAGAGGTCGGCGTCGCGGGTCGGGCACAGGATCATGAGGAGGTGGCCGTCGGCGGTGAGCATGGCCTCGTGCGAGTCGGGCGTGAGGCCGGAGAGGTCTCCGCGGCCGGCGAAGACGTAGATCTGCTTGTAGCTCTCGTCGTAGACGCGGACGTGCCCGTCGGCGTACGACGTCATGACGCGCCGGCCCCGGAAGTCCCAGGTGCGCGCCGTCTGGGCGAGACCGTCGTAGTGCTGGTCGGCCCAGACGAGGCTCAGGTCCTTGGACGAGACGATGCTGGGCCCCCACTGGCCGTACCGGCCCGCCATGAACATGTACGGGCTGTCGTGGTCGATCTTGGTCGGATCCCAGTGATTGACCTGATAGACGGGCGCCTTGATGCCGGACGAGTGGAAGGACTGGATGGGAACGTCGCCCAGGTCGCCGTCCTGGTAGGCCTCGAGGTCGAGGTGGTATGCCGAGTCGGCCGCGGCCGGGAGCACGGCCAGAGAGGCCAGAGAGGCCAGAGCCGCCAGACTAGCTGTTGCGGCGGGAAAGATGCCCATTGTGACGTTTCAAGAATAAGGAAAGAATAGGAAAAGAGATGCAGAGTCGAGCAGCAGCAGCAGCAGCAGCAGCAGCATATGTCGTCCCGTTACTGGGTCATCAAGTAGCGCTCCCTCTCTCTCCCTCTCTCTCTCTCTCTCTCTTTTGGATGTCTTTTTTATTGTTGGCGATGTCAAGGCAGATAGATCACCGGATGGTCGGACAGTAAGAGAGAAAGGGGGGGGGGTGGGGGGGTGTGGAGATGAAAGAGAAGAAGAAAAAAAAGAGAAACACCAAGCTGCGTCTGACTCCAGCCTTGGGGGAGGAGGAGGAGGAAGGAAAAGTGACGAGACCGGCTTGAGGATGAGACTGCATAGAATAGAAGAATGTTCCTCTCGACGGAATATGGAAGGAAGAGAAGATGAGGAGAAAGGAAACGAAAAAAAAAGAAGAAAAAAATACAGTATCAGTACGATGAGCCGATGTACCGTGTAGGGATATGTTCGCCTCTGCATCGACCCCCCGAATATCCTTCGGACCACCGGTCATACATGCACGGAGAGAGAGAGTATTACCACTAGCACATTATTATTATAGGCATCATCTCCCATAATTCCTCGTAGGATGCCTCGTAGGACACACTACTGTCGCTACATGGGGTGTTCTAGGCGTGTGTTATATAACTTAGGAGGTCAGGTATCATCATGTATGAGTATCAGTTGTAAAATGGGGCTGTTCAAGGGTCAGAGAGGGGTTGTCGTTTGTCGTTGTCGTTGTTTCCGGACCGCATCTGCGACTGACGACGGTCATGGGGAGAGGAAGAAGAAAGGGGAGTACACGCGTACCCTGCTGGGGGGGG